ACGGGAGCTTGGAGCAGCAGGTCTGCACAGCCTGCCACCCAGGCGGGCAGAGACTCGCCGCTCTGCTGTGCCAGGGAGTAGCTGAACTGGGTCACCTCCACCTAGATGGAGTGCCCTAGGCACGGTGACTCGGGTTTGCCTCCCAGCGCGTGAATGTTGGCTTGTCCTACCGACCCCGAAACCGGCATCCTTCTGGAGAACTTGAGGTCAGGGACTGAGTAATTAAGATGCTCATCTTGGGGATACTGAAGTAGGAGATAGCCCTGTAGGTGGAAAGGCGGTGTTTCTCTTCCTAGGGTGCAGGGCTGACAGTGGAACAGTGAAAGGCTCATGGCAGGGTGGGGCTGGTACCTTCACGTGCTGACCGCTGCGGCAGCCCGGCTGCACCGCAGCTCCTCCTGCACAGAACCTCTCGTCTCTCGCTTTAGTGCTCCTGCAAGGGCCGATGTGGGAACCGACAGTGTGGCTGCAGGAAGCAGAAGGTGGGCTGCACTGAAGGCTGTAGCTGTGACTCTGCAAAATGCAGAAATAGAGACCCTGGCTTTCCGGTGAGTAGTGCTGCCTTCCTGGGTGTCTAAGGGCCCGCACCCAACATCCCCGCTTCCCAAATGGATAAGCTTTTAGTGTACAGGCAGTTTTTCAAGGTAAAGCACGTGCACCTTTCTGAAACACGTAAATGTCACAGTAACCCGGTGTTTATCTGTGGGAATTGAGTACAGACTTTTCCACTGAGCACCCGGCTCTTGAGCTGGATACAGAAATCTGGGAGATAGGTTTACCTGCTGCCAGTGGTCAGCCACAGATCTGGGGACAAACAATTGAGGTCTGTCATTTGTAGTTAGTAAATGAAAGTTGTATCTTTGCCTTCAGATGGCACAAAATACCTGAAGGGGCTACAAGGAAGCTGGGGGGGACTTTTTACAAGGGCAGGGGGTGACAGGACAAGGAGGAATAGGTTTAAATTGAAAGTGGGGAGGTTTAGATTAGATATCAGGAAGAAGTTCTTCCCGGAGAGGGTGGGGAGGCACTGGAACAGGTTGCCCAGAGAAGCTGTGGATGCCCAATCCCTGGAAGTGTCCAAGGCCAGGCTGGATGTGGCTTAGAGCAACCTGGTCTAGTGGAAGGTGTCCCTGCCCATGGCAGGGGGGTTGGAACTGGATGGTCTTCAAGGTCCCTTCCAACCCAAACCATTCTGTGATTCTAAAAGCTTGACTGATTTTCAGATTATTTTTCTTTAAGAACGTAAGGGATGATCTGGGGGTGGATCAGAGCATCAGGAAGGTTCATGAGCAACTGATGTTCATTAGAAATGTCTGCCTTACCTGTGGATCTTAGAGATTAGAAGCAGAAACCTCCCATAATAATTCCTTACCGATTATTTTAATGAAACCAGTTGCCTGGCAGAGGCACCTGGCATATCCTGTGCTGGGATTCGCTTGGCAACTGGGGAGAAGGTGGCCTAGACCCCTAGCATTTCTTCAGCTGGTGGTGGGGAAGGAAGGGATGGATATTGAAGGTGTGCTTCAAACGATTACTGCCCTCAGGATGCCACACTGTGTGAGGACCAAGCACGAGTCTCTGAAGGTTCTTTCAAACTCGAAGACCCCACTGAAGTGACTGCAGGAGAGACCTTCTTTCAGCCTGTGTGTGTCACACCGACTACCAAGGTACTGCCCAAAGCGGTGAGAAGGAACGGGGGCTCTGAGTGCGCACACCGTGGCTGTGGCTAGTGATGGGCCTTAGAGAAGGGAGGGGAAAAAAACCAAGATAGAATCATGGAATTGTTTTGGTTGGAAAAGACCCTTAAGATCATAGAGTCCAACCGTTAACCCAGCAAAGAGGATCGGCAGATGTGAACAGACTACACCTGTCAAGCCAGCTTGTGTTTAAGCTTTGAGCCTGCAAATTCTTAAGTTTTCATACTAAATCTTTGCCACCCGGGCTGGCCACGCTGTCCTGCCACACCTTCCCCCAGTAAAAGGGAGACTGGTAATTGAGGAGCTCACAGGACAAAATCCTGTCTGTATCCAAGCTTACTGTTCGTAAGCCATTGTGTCCTCTGACTGGGCAGCTGTAATTTTGCCTGAACAAACTGGCTTGTCCATGTGTACCCTCTGCGTGCTATTCCAAACGCCGTCTCGCTCTGCCCAGGCCCTGAATTTGTCCTTAGAAGTTTGACATGAGTAAAGAAGTCAAGCAGCTCTGGACACAGGCCTGGCAGCTTGTGCATCTGCTGCCTCCGAGCTGCACTGCAAGCTGCTGGCTTCTCCAGGGCAGTGACCGACCCCAGGTTGTCCTTGCTTTTCTTATAGGTCCTGAAGGACATCACAGACCAAGATACCTTCATGAAGAAGTCCAGCACTACTGCTTCCATGTGTGTGAGAGATGAGGAGTCCCAAGAGAACCAGATGCCGTTTATAAAGAGAAAGAAGAGAATGCTGAGTAACAATACCAGCTTCTTCTCAGGCTGCACCCCCATCAAAGAGGAGCTTAACTGAAGAGCCTGACTGTGCCCTGCTGCATCACACCATGCTGCTGGTGCCTCTTTTTCAGAAGTGTTGGGATCTCTTGCTGCAGCAGAAGCCCAACAACTGTCACACCTGATGGCTTCTGGCATCAGCAAGGGAGTCAAACACTCGTTCTTCCTAGATTGTGTCCAGTTCTCTGTAAATATTTGTATGTGGGGGACTTGGGCTGATGGCAGGAAACTTTCCCCTGAACTTTCTGTAGTGAGTGGAGGTGATTTATCCAGGTTGCTCATCCCAACTGCCGCCTTCATCCTGAGCTGTGAAACCGTTTGGTACAGTTGAATCCGTAATCTTGAAAGAACTTTGTGTTTGCACTGGAACTCTGGGTGCTCTCTCTTCCCTTAGAGCCTGAGGAAGTGTTCCAACCAGCCGTGTCCATCCTCTGGAGCTTGATCCTGAGGAGGCACTGTCTGTAGTCTTAACTAGCTAGGAGATACACGGTGGTCAGTGTTTCTGAACCCTTTAGGGACCTTGTTCCATGAAGTTAGAAACTTGCTCGCCCTATGTGAATAGTGCGGTAATTTTAACTTGGGTTTGTAGCTTTAATAAAGTAACTAATTAAAACCCCTTGACTTTTATGTTCTGTTATGCACACAGTGAGCCAGAGGAGCCCTCTGCATCTCCGCACCTGACACCGGTCTGAAAGCGGTTGCACAGTTGCTGTGCTGACTGTCAGCACCAGCACTGCCGCTCACCTTCCCCCTCCTTGCCCTTGTCCTGCCTGGAGTCACAGCTGACACTTCTCTGCATGCTGTGACTCTTTTCCCTGTACGGGGAGTAGTGATCTTGCAGATCCCTGACCTGCAGATGGTGCAGCACCCTCCCCTCTCTGTTTTCTTCTCTTTAGCTTGATCCAATATTAACAATTAAGCGCAAGCCAGGCAGGCTCTTCTCCACTGGAGCTCTTCAGACATGCCCCTACTGTCATCTTTTTGCTTTCTGAGCGTATAAAAGTCCCTGATCGCTGTAAGATGTTTGTTTCAGAGCGATTTGAATGAGCTGTGAGGGCTTAACCTAGGGAAAGGGCACCCCTCTCACCCCACCAACCCTCCCATCCTTTATGCCGGGGTTTAGAAACTGAGTCAGGATCGGTTCACATTTGAAGAACAAAGACACAGCACAGAGGCAACACACGGTGGTGTAGTGAAACACAAGGCAGCAAATGCCTGTGGTTGAAGCAAACTTGTCCTGCTTGTAGGCAGCGTTGTGAAATGCCCCACCTGGGCAGTGGGGAGCTGCGTGCTGGAGGAGGAGGCTGGGAGCGGAGCTCTGGGACAGGTTGCCCAGAGAAGCTGTGGATGACCCATCCCTGGAAGTGTCCAAGGCCAGGCTGGATGAGGCTTGGAGCAACCTGGTCTAGTGGAAGGTGTCCCTGCCCATGGCAGGGGGGTTGGAACTGGGTGATCTTTAAGGTCCCTTCCAACCCAAACCATCCTGTGATTTGCAACTGCGCCAGAATTTGTGCACAAGCTCCCCCAGCCTCAGTCATGTCAAGCTCAGCCCAAGAAGAGGCATGAGGAAAGGGCATACCTTTACCTGTTAAAAACACACCACTTTAATATATAAAACCACATTAAATTTACTCAGTCTTGTAGTACAGCTGACGTGGGATCTCGACACAGAAACGCCTGTGGCTTCAAGTCAAGCTCAGGCGATCTGCCCTTCACCAGAGCCCGCCGCGTGCCACGTCACTCCATGCACACACGAGCCCAAGCGTAACGAGGTGACGACCGACGGGGCGCAGCGCTCTGGAAATAAAGAACAAACCTTGGTTGGGTTTTTACCCCCTCTACGGACTTTGGGTTAGAGTTGTGGGCACTGGTGCAGGTGTTCAGGCCAGGACACCGCACGTTAAAGGCTGCTGGCGGGCAGCCTAAGCAAGTGTTCTCCAGAAAGCCCCTCCTCTACCCCTCCTCTGCCTTTCTGCCGTTAAGAGATCATCGTCACGCTCGCTGAACTGCACATGGAGAATCACGGATGCGATCAACAACCTCCAAGCAGCAAACGTATTTGGGACAAACAAAGGCTGATGTGCCCCAGCTACGTCCCACCTCACCCAGGACTCCGGGTTTGACGTTATTTGAAACGAGTCGCTACGTCACACCTCCCGCTCCTGTCTGAAATGATTTTTACTTGGCACGGAACAGCAGTGCCAGCACCCGGCTCACCGAGCTCCAGAGACACGGACACGGCTGCTAAAAATAAGGCCACAAACGAGATGCAAAGACCGTTCTGTGCAACGACCACCAGCGCTCAGTGTTGCTGCTGGCGTTCAGAGGGACATTACAGGCCACAGGGAAGGAGCGATCGCTTTCTCCTCTTTCCACAGGCAACGCTCGCGCTCTCGCTCCACACCCACCCGCACACTCAGAGTAGTTACGCGCTCTCGCGCCGTTTACAACAAGCTCTCGTTAAAAACCTGTCAGACTCAATACGAACCACTGAGGGATGGACGGGGATCGGAGAGTCTCTTCACAAATTGTCGTAGTCGTCATCATCTTCATGCTTCCTTTTCAAGGCGTTGGAGTCATTGGATGTGTTCTGTGATGACACCATATTTGTAGTAATGAGAATGTTCTTTGGTCCGATTAACGAAGGATTAATTAGAACATTCTGAACTGTCGGAGTAGTTGGTGTGGCTGTGAAAAAAAGAGGTCAGTGAATGAAAAGCTGGGCAGCTGATTTTCCCACACTGAAGCAGAACTTCCAACCTACTAAAGCAGCGTGCTACTAGAACATCCTGGGCTGAAAACCCTGGAATAGCCGTGGGAGCACAGCAGGGAAGACAGGAAAATCCTAGCGGGGCGAGCACAGAAGAGCGAGAGCGCACCAAGGTGGCACCCAGGGTGTGAGGGATGTCTGCCTGAGGCGCTGTACATTCAGGTTGACACCACTGGGCCTGCTTAATTACTGTTTAACAGGAATTAAACCTGGAAGTTACCGGAATGATCAGAGAGAGGACTGCCTGCCTTACAGCAGGAGACACAAAAGATGACCAATATCACCTAAACTGAAGAGGTGAAGTAATTTCCCACATTATTACTATAAATTAATTTCCCTTCTGCTAAAAAGAACACCCCAAAGTGCTTTTGATCCAAGAATCTGAGTTTTTACAGCCTGTGTTTTACCTGACTTGACTGCTGCCTGAGAAGACGGGATCTGCACGGTGAACCTCTGACCGGTCAGCGACACCGGAGTGCCAACTTTTGTTGAGACGGATACTGCCTGTGCTGAGGGCGTACCTGAAATGTCAAACAACTCAGTCAAAAGCTAAGTACGAAAAAAAACACACTTGCACTTGCAAATTTGCCTTTGAAGTAGAACCTATTGATTTCCAAGTAGTAAGAATAAACAGGAACATACTGGTACCGGATATACAGGAGTCAGATTTTCAGGCAGAACTGCACACATACTCAAGACCTACAAAATTCTGGGCTACCAACACACATGAGTGTGTAAGTGCACATAAATTTCATGAACCTTTTCAACGTGGATTTTGTTCAGTGCTATCTGTAGTTCAGCGCAGTGCTGACAGGGAGGAAAAACCCCTCCAACTTACGTGAGTTTCTTGAATAACCTCTTCACATCTAGAAGTTATCACTGACACAGGAATAAACACACAGAATGTTGGTAAGTACCAAAGATTACTGAAATCTTTGTGAAATGAATTTGATTTTTCTGATGCTGACACAGGCCGCTACGTCCAGGCGGCACCCAACACTTCCCCAGTGGCTGAAGCATGCTTTAAATTACTCCTCAGTAGTTTTCTCCTTCATAAAATCAACATGGGAAACCCCAACCAAGCTGTTTCCTACCTAAAGTAGGAGTGCTGGGCCTGCTGCTCACAGCACCAACACTCAGGCGAGGGACCGTTATTCTTCCTGCAGAGGAAGAGACCTGGGGAGAGGGAACATTCAGTTTAGCATCCCATTAGACACAGTTTTTAACAGGAAAAAAAAGACATTATTCTTCCTACAAAACTACAGAGAGCCTATTTCATAGAATCATAGAATCACAGAATGGTTGGGGTTGGAAGGGGCTTTAAAGACCATCCAGTTCCAACGCCCCGGAGATAGGCAGGGACACCTTCCACTAGACCAGGTTGCTCAAAGCCTCATCCAGCCTGGTCTTGGACACTTCCAGGGATGGGGCATCCACAGCTTCTCTGGGCAGCCTGTGCCAGTGCCTCCCCACCCTCTCCAGGAAGAACTTCTTCCTGATATCTAACCTAAACCTCCCCAGTTTCAATTTAAAGCCATTACCCCTTGTCCTGTCACTACAGGCCCTTGTAGAAAGTCCCCCCCAGCTTCCTTGTAGCCCCTTCAGGCACTGGAAGGTGCTATAAGGTCTCTCTGGAGCCTTCTCTTCTCCAGGCTGAACAAGCCCAACTCTCTCAGCCTGTCCCCATAGCAGAGGTGCTCCAACCCCCTGATCATCCTCGTGACCCTCCCCAGTACTCGCTCCAGCTGGTCTATTTCTCAGCATCTACACCATTCGTGTGCCAGCACAGGAGTTCTCAAACTCTTCACGGAGTGAACGTCACCGGTGTGAGCTGGAGAGCTCTGGGACGCAACACAACGCTGAGGCTGCGCTGGCAAACAGCACTCAGGTTAATGGGGCTAGTTTCTACCAGAAAGAATAACTAGAACATCTTAATCACCAATCATTATTCCACTCTACGCCTAGCACCAGGGCATGTTCCATGTCAATACATGGAACTTCAAGTTCAACTTTTAATATTCTTTCTTTAAAATGAGGGAAATAAATGTGAAAATCCACACACCGAGACATCCAGTATTTTCCAGCAAGCAAAGTAAATCTTTTCCCTTTAAAGCAGAAATAACTGAGGTACAACTACAAAACATTTTTATATCGAGACTAAAGCATCACTCTTGCATTTTACAATCTGATATTCAACTCGACAATTTTGCTTTAATGCTGAAAAATTCTCAGCTGTGGTTTTTAATACACTTTGCATTTAAAACCAACCCTAAGAATACCTTCAAATTCCTAACGGTCACTGACCCTAGTTGAAAACATCACTGTGATCCACACCGGCCAGCATTTGCCCACAGGCAGCCTTCAGAAGTGTGAAAAACTCTTAATTCCAACGCGACTCCTGACAAACAACGTGGGCAGTAGGTGAATCCTTACCTACACAAAGTCCTCACCTTCTTCTGTAGGGACTTCAGTCGGTAGTTGGGAGCTGTCAAGCAGTATCGGTCAGGGGGAAGCCTGGGTCCAGAATAAGGCTTTATCAAGGGCAACGGCGTCTGGTTCTTCTGCCTTGCGATATCTAACAGGAACTGGAGAGACAGCGTTACACTCCCACCTGCGCTCTTACTCTCCTCCGCAGTTACCAGCGCAGGGTTTCACTCACGTCTCTTGGCGGCGGGGATGTAAAGGACTGGTCCGTTCGACACTGGATTGCCAACCTCACGTCATCCGCATCCACGCTGGATTTCTTTGCGTGACTGGAGTAAATTTTTGCATCTTCTAGTATAGTAGTCACATACCCTTTGACAAACAGAATTCCTCGTTATGGAAGGAATCTTCCCCCTCCCGATCCCACCTGGATATAACTGAACACACCGCTTCCTCCAGGGAGATTTTTAAAGACTGACAGAGGAAGCCCCCAGGAAACAGGGCTGAAGACAGCGTTTCCCTTCTCCGCTCGGCCTTGCCCTCCCCAGGGGCCGCTGTTCGTGCGGCCCTGCCAGA